TAAAACATTTCATATAACACAAACGCGTGCGCACACATACACCTACCTTTACCGGCTGCTGTGTTATCTTCCTGCTAGCTGTCGTGTGGAGGAGGTCTTTCCTCTGCCAGTCTCGGCAGTAAAGGGGGATAAATGTACATTTCCCTTTTGTAACATCCGTCTTCTCATTTCTGATGCTGGCTCTTGAATATCCTCAGGTTAGAAATGCCGATTACAAACTTAAGAGCTTTTAAAGATAAGTTTTCTCTGTAATGCTATGATCCACTGCTGTCACCTCCTCATCAAGAGGAAAATTGAGAAAAACTAACTACTCAATTGTACCTGCTGCTTAGTGGACACAACGGCACACAACAGAACTCACGTTTTATACCAGTAGATCACAGATGCTTTAACTTTTGTGACTTTTTCACGGACTAGTACTAGCAGCTAACGTTAAAATCATAGGCAGTAAGCAGGGAGTGGACGGGAGGAGCGTGGCAAGACTTTTACTGGAAATACGTCATTAATGACTGTGGCGTATGGGCTATTAGGGCCACTGGGGAAAAAAAATTCTGACTTCTTTTTTCTAATTCTGAGATAAACATCAAAATTCGGACTTTTTCCTAATTCTGAAAAAATAGTTAGAATTCTGAGAAAAAATGGTATTGATGGTAAATGTTACTGAACTTATAGAGCGCTTTTCAAGTCCCTCCAGACCCCAAAGCGTTTTACACTAACAGACATTCACCCATTCACACTCACATTCACACACTTAGGTGTGTGAAAGGTAGAGTTCTGAGATTAAAGTCAGAATTATTGTTTGTTTGTTTGTTTGTTTGTTTGTTTGAGTGGCCCTTTTCCTCTTTCCTACTGAAGGGATCTCAGTGAGGGGCAATTTCATTTTTAGTAAAATAAAATCTTTGAAAAAGTAAAAGTTATAAAACCTAAAGTCACAATACTCTATTACTGACTAAGCTAAATGTTTAGATTTATAAATGGTTAAATAGCACAAAGAACTTTAGCTAGTCTTTTGCGACTTCTAACTTTACAGCTTGTAGGGGTATTAAATACTAGAATTCTGAAATGGATAATTAAAATTTAACTATACTATATTTAAATATATTATTCCTCGAGGCACCACATTTCTTAATTCGATCAAGGGTTGACCCAGGAAAGAAATGAAAAACTGCAACTTTATTGTAATCAGACTCAGAATAAATTTACCCAAAATGATTTCATGAATTCTTGTCTTATCAGAACCAGAAACACTTCATCAAGACACAAAAATGAGATTAGCTTATGTTGGCACATTCCCCACGGGCCATTTATTTACAGATTAAATGTATTTACAACTATGGCAAGTCATGAATGTATAATGACATGTTTGAACCAGGTAAAAAGCTGAGAGAGTTTGTTATCACGAGTGAATGAACAAACGGACAGAAAAATAAACAAACAAATATGTAACATAAGTAAACACTGAGAAGTGTGTTTGAGGCATGGAGTGAGGTGAGGTAAGCTGCTTTTAGCTGTGGTTTTAACTAAGGACTCCTAGTTAAATTAAGATCGAGAAAAACATTTAGTTTGCCAAGTCTCATACATAGATAAAAATCAAATTTACATCTGAGCACCTATGTGTCACCAAGACAAGTGTTCACCTTTACCCTTTTGTTCTGCTGATGGCGGTACCAGGAGGAGGCGTTGGCTAACTGAAGAATCTTTAGGTGATGTTCCCCAAACTGCTTTAGTGTGGTGGCCGTCAGACACTCAGGATGTCTGTTTAGCTGCTGGTCCTTCAGTCAGAAAGGGGTTCGCTCTCTGGTGACTCAAAGTCTGGTCCTCCAGGTGGCTGTAAGACCTTAATTTGATCTTAACTTTGTAGAGAAAAACGGACTAAAACGATGGATGAATTACCATTAGCTTATTTGACTCCTATAAAATCAAAACTCCGAGACTGAGTCGAAGTGCGATGAACGAGCTACTCGAACAATCAGCGGAGATGTTGAATGACCCCCCCTCCTGGTTAGCCGTGGGAGGGGCTGAAGGGGGCCTCTGCCAAGCTGTGAAAGTTGTTTCTAGCTTCAAAGAAAACAAACTGACTGAACTGCATGTCCTTGTCTTGTCTGCACTAACTTTTAAGACCTCTGTTATGGGCGGAGTCAAGGTTTTAGTTAGCCAATTGAAAAACTTTACCAAGTTTTTAACAAATAAAATGTTTGGAGGGAAAAACTTTCGCTTCAAGACAAAGAAAGGGAGTGTTTTATTCTAATTATCTTGCATCTAATTAAAGGGTTAAACATCTATTTTACCTCAGTAAAATAAGAATGTCACATTTAGTTAAAATTCGAAGTCTAAAATTTCTAAGGTTTAAATCATGTAATAAACACAGTTTCTTTAGGAAAACATTTCATCAAAACAATTAACACCAAAATACACACAGCTAGAACAATGGGTTTGGTTCCTTCTGTGAAAGAGAAGATAAATTCACATTTCTTCGATATAAAAACAGACAATTGTATAAAAACATTCAATTTGGTTTCTTCTTTTTTTCTTTCCTTTAAACAAGCGTGTGATTTCCCTTGTTCAAGTCACTGAAGTCTTGTCACAGGCATTTTATTACCCTTTAAAGAGGAGCGAACAGTCTTGTGCTCATGGGGGTTGGAAGCACAGAACTTGTGGGAATCCTTTATCTGATAACGAGGCGTCAGGAAGTCTGGTGAGGGGTTGGTGTAAGATATGCTAATTCGAGGCACAAAGGTAACATGCAAGATCCTTGAAAATAAGTCTGAAATGAGTGGATCTCGATCTCTTTTAAACAGTCATAAACTAGTTATATCTATCAGAAATTATTAATTGAAGGAGGAAAATGCTACAAGCTTTATGCTACTTTTAGCATTTCTAGTTTTTAACAAGCCTATTGTTAATTCAAACTTTTCACTACTTCTAGGTTTTAGGTAGCTTTATGCTACTGTTAGCTTTTTAACTGCTAATTTTGCCTGCTAGCTTTTAGATATGGTTTTGCTACTTTTAGGTTTATATATATATATACAGCGGGTAAAATAAGTATTGAACACGTCACCATTTTTCTCAGTAAATATATTWCTAGAGGTGCWAATGACWTGAAATTTTCACCAGATGTCGGTAAMAACCCAAGTGATCCATACATACAAAGAAATCAAACCATAAATGTCCAGAAATKAAGTTATTTGTAATAATGTGGAATAGCACAGGGAAAAAGTGTTGAACACGCTTACTGAAATTTATCTAATAATTTATCTAATAAGCCTTTTTTGGCAATGACAGCTTCAAGATGCCTCCTGTATGGAGAAACTACATTTTTCCACTCATCCTTCCTTCAATTATTTGAAGTTTGCCAGTACCATATGTTGAAAAACAGCCCCACACCATGATGTTCCCACCTCCAAACTTCACTGTTGGTATGGTGTTTTTGGGATGATGTACAGTGCCATTTGACCTCCAAACATGATGTGTATTATGGCATCCAAACAGTTCAATTTTGGTCTCATGTGACCAGACTACCGTATTTTTCGGACTATAAGCCACACCGGACTATAAGCCGCACCTGCCATTTTTTTTAAAAACCCGCGAACATTAACATATAAGCCGCACCGGACTATAAGCCGCACCCCCAACATAAAAAAACAGTGCACCCAAAATTGTCATCAAAAAAGTGAATTCAACATCAAAAYATAAAAAGCAAACCTTTAGGAATTAAAGTTCGGAGGAATACGGTTCATTTAACTGACCTTATTTTAGTAGTTTTCTTTAACAGTTTCTGGTCCAACAAAACGTCTCATTTATAGTCCACACTGAAACCATCGAAGTCCTCCTCTTCAGTGTCGGAGTTAAACAAGCTGAGAAAAGCTGCGTCACATAGCAGTATCTGTTATCCCGGGGTAATGCTGGCTCTGAAGCTGTGGTGCCCTCTTCACGTAGCAGTCCAGCCTTTCAGAACCCATTGGTGATGGTGGACTCATTCACTCTGCTCCACACTGTTAGGATCATCTGGCAGACATCAGGAAATGACGCTCTTTGCATTCGGCCAGTTTTTGAGAATGATTTATCCCCGTCAGTCATCCAAGCCTCCCATTCACCCCTGAGTGCTGCTTTAAATGCACGATTCACACTGATGTCCAGGGGTTGCAAAAAC